AAAAAATCGTCAGATGGGGAAACTAGCACGAACACGACATAGAGTCTAGGCTAATATCACAGGAGTGCTGGGAACGGCGCGCCCCAACCCGCCCCTCCGCCCACCGCACAACGACCTCCCCGACGCGCCTACTTACTATTCAAAGGGGGAGAAGCGGGCAACTACCGATATATTTTGCGACAATTAAGATTTCAATAGAAAAACGCCGTAAGGTTTCGCAAAATAGATCATCCCATTCGAACAATAAATTAACAATTACAAAAACAAGTTACAAAATAAACGGTTGCTACAGTATCATAACGATAAGCTGCTACGTCACAATCGAACGTAAGTACATTATCAACCGATTTAAATAAAGTATGGTAACAGGCGTAAATTATAAGATAAGGTAACGTAGAAGCAAAATAAGAACGTTCAACTCAAAACATAACAAAACAAATTCAATACTAAGAGTCGTACGTCAAAATGCAATGCTTCATCAAACATTCGGCTGTTGGCCCTCAAACGTTTGCCCTTGCCGATCTCCGCGAGTGAGGTCGCGAGACTCACGAGCTGCCTTTGGCTTGACGCGCGTCATAACTTCCAAAATACTCGCTTTTCTTTTGTTTCAGTAAGCAACGAACGCCTCGCCGTAGCCAGTCGCAGTCGCAGTCACACGTTACATGCAATGGCGATGGCCCACCGGGCGGCCGCCAGGCGCGCCGTGCGACCGAGCTCACTCGCCGCTCAACTTTTACTTTCGAAGTTAGCGGAATGCGAGGAACAGATACCATTTGAAATATTAAACATAGCCATCTCTAACGCGACAACGCAAATAAAAGTTATTATAAAATAATCATAAGAAAACGAGTAAAAAAACCATACGCTTTCGAGGCCTCCGCGACCGTTCCCAGTAATTTGCACTATCACTTATGAACTATTTACTTTAGTAATTATACAATATAATAATGTAACATTATGGCTTAGAACTATATCTCCGATGTAATCCAACAACACTTCCTGGATGATTTCTCGCTCCCTAGCGTCCTGAGGCGGACGCCGCTCAGGGTCCTCCGACTGAACCATCATCGAGCACTAATTGGGGTGCGCTCGCGGCGGCGGCGCCTGAGCAACTTTCACTAAATAATAAAAAAAAACATGCTAACAAAGTAAGTACTCTTCTTAAACAACAAAGAATTGGCTATACGTTGAGTGTCCGGGTGACGTGGACGCGCTGGTCGCTCGAGGCGGCGGAGCGCCGTTCGGAGCGCGACCCGGTTCGCTCGAAGCGCACTCCGGGTCGTTTGGAGCGCGCACGTCCGGAAACACGGTCAACGTTTCGAGCGCGTTCGGCTCGAGCGCGTCTCATTCCGATCGCTGGCGTCACAGCGGCGCGTTGAGGTGCGTGGCGCGGCGCGGTCATGAGTCGAGCACGGTGAGCAGGCCGGGCGGCAGCAGCACGTCCTGTCGGGGCAGCTGCCGCGCTAACTGCGCGCATCCGAGGTTCGCGTCGCCCAGCTCCGGGATGGCGTCCAACAGTGCAAGGCACTCGTCCTCCACTTCGCGCCGCGCCTTCTTGCCCGCCCACGAGTCGTCGCACTCCTCGCGCGCGCGCCTCCGTCGCGCTTCTTTCTCCTTGCGGGCCTCCTCGCTCAGCCGACAGTACGTGTTATTGATGCACACCGACCGGCGAAGGTCGCGCGCCGGGTCCTCGATGTTCTCCAGCTTCTGGGAGCAGATCTCGATGACCCGTTTGCGCTCCTCATTGGCGCGCAGCCTCGCAGAGATCATGGAGAGCTTGGGGCGTGCGGCAGGCTCGGTGCGAGGTGGACCGAACATCTCCTCCTCGAAGGCGTCTGCGATCTCGACCCCGCGCGCGTTCTCCCGTTCTTCTTGTGGCGTCATTCTGTAACAATCACATCGACATTTTAGCACTCGTTAGCTTACTATTCCCGGGCGCTTTAAATTTACTCAAAACATTACCACCATTACTAGTACATCTCGCCTACGTAGTGAGCGTAACTTTAAATATTCTTATAACAATAGCGATAAAAATTCAAGGTACCTATCGATAGCAGTTTATTTCCTTAACCATTTCTGTTAAAATGTGTAATAATAAGGAAAGCCCAGAGTAGTAAATTAATGGATATAAAAAAACAAAGCGTTGAAGACAAAACAGGTCATGATATGCAATCCGATAAGTGAACAACCTTACAATTAATAGACACCAAGATAATTATACGCACCTCGAAGTTAATTCGGAGGAGAAAATGAAAAATCCGGACATGTACATTATTGCGATCAAATCAATCTAATTATTATTTTGAAATATATTCACACCAATGTCACAGGTAATAACACTAGCACCGAGCAGCGAGCGATTCGTCGCCCCGTCCTCGACGGTAAAAAGTATAAAGGCAAAAGTGAAACAAAAATAAACCGCGCGAATATATCGACGTGTGCGCAGCGCGACGGTCACTCGGCGAATGACAGAACACCTCGGTGTAGATAAGACATTGAAAAAGCCAATTGCGTCATTTGCTACGTACGTGTGGAGAGGAAGCGAGTGACGTCGGCCGTAAACCGTCATTTTCGACGCTATTGACTGTCGTGACTCGAACTATTTGTTTACGACATAAAAGTTTTAAGGTGGGCAAATCCACAAAATTATCCACGACTAAATAGTAAAAAATAATCGACAGCACAACTTGATTCTTTATTAATATTTCTAAGTACAAACATATCGCTTGTTATACATGGCAGTTCTTTGTTTACAAGCGCACTTATAAAAACAATAACAAATCTATAATTCATCAAAAAGCGCGAATGACGTATCAAGATTTTTATCTGTTACGCCATAAATTACAATCTACATGTTTTATAAAATTTAAGGAAACTATTCAAATGATGCTCGACTAAAAGTGTTTGAGACTTTTTGAACATTGTAAACTATAATTACTGAGCGTAAACAGTTTTTATACATTCCAATTAACATTTTACATTTCGGCCGTTTATTGTTCTTTTGTGTAATTAACTGACATTAAGTGTTAATGACCGCTATACTGATCAGAAAAAGCCATTTAAGTTTCAATAAAAATAAATTAGACACAAAACGTGCCATTAACGGTAAGCAAACATTTGTACCACGCTAATGCCGTCCCTTTCTTTTTCTATGAAAAAAAGAGATAAGCATATCTAACGTTACGGCAGAAAATTATCTAACGTATATAAGTGTTGGATATAAAAATGAATATTACGAGTTACGTTTGTATTCAGTTCAATCACGGGACAGGGAAAAAGAGCCCGCTGACTCACAAATGAGAATTTATCTTATATTTAGAGCAGTGAGCAATTACTGCAGATGAATTCGTCACATACACTATATTTTTAAAATGCTGACTATAGTACCAGTTTAGCTTACACAGGTTTCATAAAATATTATACCTAAAACTATCGCACAACTGTTCAGTCTCGCTTTGATTCCTATATGTGCGCGCACTACTAGATTTTATAGTTGCAACTAAACAATTGAGTTGGCTGCGAAGTAAGACAATCGCACATAGTTGTACGATAGTTAGTCAAAGGTGCGCCCGCTCTAAATATGTACATAGCTCATAAGATCCTATATAAGGTAGTAATTACCCGCCCCAAATTCTACTGTGTCATCAATAACGTCTCATATCTTTTCTGTCATATCCATACCCTTCCTACTTCCAGAACTCAGTGATAATGTAGCTTTTAATAGGGAAATAATTTTTGAAATCGGTTCTGTAGTTTCGGAGTATTCAATACCCAAAAAGTATAGCCAAATGACAGTGGTAGTGTCTGCTTTAACATCTTCGCACCAATGGATCGGCTCGCCCGGTGCAATATCACGACCAGACAGAAGACAGGCGTGAAGTGGGAGCATTTCCGCGTTTCGTCTGATGAGTGAGGTGCCGGACGCCCAACTTTAGTCCCTTTTCCTTCCCACCCTTTTTCTTAGAAAAGCATGGGAAGGGAACGTGGATTTGATGGTGCAGGAGACGCATAGGAAGCCTATATCATCTTTATGTGCGTCGCCTCCTCTATCGATCAAGGGTAGGCAACACATCCGCTATTGCGAATGTCTATGGGCAGCGGTAGCTTCGCCATTTTGGCGGATTTGGGTGGCCGGTTGCTCGTTTGCCACCTTATGTTATAAAAAAAGTATGATTTGACCCTTAATTCTTTCTCTTTATCCATTTTAATTATAAGAAATCGCTTGTAAATTTTCTGGTATTTGAGACTTTAATTTCTATCAATTAATTTTTTCGTCTACAAGTTCGTTAGATTCGATGGAATGCAATTTACAATCCGGTTTTTGTTTTATCAGACTAAAAAATATTGAAGATTGCTTTTTATAACGAGTCCCTTAGTGTAGTTTATAACAAAATCTATACTTAAAGGTGTAATTAGGGGCATCAATTATTAGTTGTTTTTTTTTCTAAAATAAAGATAAAATAACAAAGAAATGAAGAGAAACTCGCAAGAAAGAAGAAATCTTCATTGAAAACAAATGAAAAATTGTCCTTCAAGAACAAAGGGATAATATTAAGGGCACTTGACGTTTGACAATGCCCCTCTAAAGCTTTCGGTAACATTACGAAATTATACAACCGTTACCTAAGAAACTGATGTAACTATTAAAATTTCATGTAAGTAGGTATGTTTAGTAGCAATAAGTTGCCGGAAGAAATTTGACACAAATACAATAATTTCACGGAACAAATATAAATTATTTATGCATTTTTTCTAAAGTATACTGTAAATTAATGAAGATTCTAATAAAATTGTCTACGAAAGTATAAACATTAGTTACGTTTTTTTAGTATTTTTTTCTGAATAACAATCCACTAAATTTAAATAAAACATTTGTAAATTAACTTGTATGAAATTCTCAGCGTGTTTCTTCTTACATGTATTAGGATCTCTTTAATGGCGATAGCAGTTAACGATGGACGTGTTGCGTTTTTCTAAAACAACTGTTTACTCAACGTTATAGCCGTATTTGAAAGCGTTTTAAAAATAAATTCCGTTATTTTCTACAGTTAAGGAATTAAACTCCTCTGTTAACTAATTTAGTTTATAACAAATTTTTGTATTTACGATAAACGTCATTCGACCTTTTTAGCGCAAAACATAAGGAAAACTAACAGAGGTTAATCATGAATGACGCTTTATGGTTGCGATGATTCGAATTTCGAACGACATAGACTAAGTGTTTTTTTCAGAGCTTGCGCGCGATGACATCGACGGGTGTTGCCGACCTCGGGCGGTTACGATCCAATAAATCTTGCCCGACTCGACTTCGACTACCTGCACTTTCTTTTCTCTGTCTCACACAAGTATGGTGTATTGGAACGATTCAAAAACCGTCATGATTGTGTTCGAAGACACTTCCCTCATGCCTTTTTTGTACAAGTAGGTAGAGTTTACAAATGCGTTATTCCAGCATGCGTCATACTGTATGGCCGATTGAAGTAACCTATTTAAGAGCGTAATATCAACACAACAAAAGCGACGGCAATTTATCAAAAAGAAAAATAGTTTTATTTGCATAGTTTTATATTTAATACACATTTTTGATACGATTAAGTTAATCTTAGTAGAATAAAGTACATTTTTTTCGCAATAGAGGGCATGATCAAGCGTATCTCAATGACATGCGAAATGGATGACGTCACAGAATTACCCAGTTTAATATTGCATCATAATAATTAACAGTACTGGCAGATTACACTACGTGGTGCAAGGCGACTTGTTATCTTAAACCTTCATGTGGAGTACTGTCACAACCAAACACTATATTGCAAAAAAAGTTAGACAATTTTATCATTTTAATAAAAAAAAATGTTTTTTTTTTTACTTTTGTTCTCTTTTTTTCGAAAGTCAATCAACGTATTATACTTGCACAAAACCATAAAGTTGATAGAATTATCAGGAAAATAAATCAAAGAGCAATAGATTTATCTGGCCTCTAAAAGAGCTAACGCTAGTTGTAAAACGTATGTAACCCTAAATAGGCAAAGAAATCACACACAATAGATAGGACAATAGTATAGTTTCATTAACACCTACCGGGTCAGATAAGTTTCTCGAACTACAACATGTCTTATAACTAACATGCGTAAAATCAAACTATGACATTCAAAACAAAGAGACAATGCGTTCACATGATCAAATGCACGTACGCAAATCAACGACGATTCTGATTTATAAAATTTATCAAGCATAAAATACATATATGAGTAATTTGGAGGAAAAAAGACAAAATTATTAATACCACGATGGCTCAATGACTGAGTTTAAGGTTTAATACAAAGCCTAAGTTGTGGTGAAAAGAAAAAAAAATCCTGTGACGTAATTAACCGACAATTATTTGATTAGATTTATGTAAAGCCTGATAGAGATGCTCAGTTTTAATTGAACAGATTGACGGTGTAGGCAAAACTATAACTGTACAGTTTAATACAATTAAATGTCTACGTTCACTGTCAGTTAAAACTGAACATGTATAATGGCTTTGAGTATAGAAAATGTTTCCGCCTTGCAAATTAACATCATCTCATCATCATGTTCCTCCTTATCCTACTCCCGTAGCGGCACAACAGGTTTTTGTCCTCCAAATAACTCTATCATACGTCATCTCAGTCATCACTCCCTTTTTGATCATGTCACCTTTCACGCAATCCATCCATCTCTTTCTAGGTCTACCTCTACCGGTGTCCACACTCATAACTAACGTTCTCCTTGTTACATGCCATTTATCCCTCCTTGCAAATATAAATGTATTGTAAAAGTATGCTCAAATTACATGTTATACAGCGGGATATGAAAAAAAAAGAGATTCAATACAAGTCTTTATCTTTTAGTATTATATAGTACAAACAAGTTTTCCCTAAACTTGAAATACGCTTGAGGTCGCGTTTGTTTAATTCTGTTATCTATTTGTTTAGTGACCTTTGCTGGATCACAAAGATTAAATAGTCGGAATAAACAAAAGTTTTT